ATATACAATGTGCAAATGTCCATGGAAGATATCCATATCACTGCCAAGGACTATCTCCTTTTTAAAAAGGCACTATAACTGTTATACTTTACCAAGGTTTTTCTTAAGGACTGGATGATATTTATGGGAAACAGGTCCTGAACTGTCAAAAGTCAGCTGTTGACTTTTAGACCCTTCATCTTTAATGCTGTCCATGGAGGGCTATTAGTACCTTCTGACCAGACTTATTGATAGAAAGAGCAGAGGAAAGTAAACACTAAAAATATACCACATTTCTGAAGTTTTCTCTGTTCACTGTTTATTATATCCAGCTAGAATAACAGAAAGAATTTCATTTGAAGGAGGTAAAATATTTTGAGATGCCACTTTTTGTTTTCCTCCCCTGAAAAAGAAAAGACAAGCAAAACACAAGGGAAACAGAAAAAAAAATCAGCCACTGCTTATAGCAACGAAATCTGTTTGTGCATGATTTAAAATCAGAGTAGAATTTCACTTCATTCTGTCTTGTGTTTTTGTGTTTCATATTTCATGCTTTGGTTAACACTTATTTAGTCTATTCCTAGAGGCTGTGACAGGTTGTCCTGGAAGTTTTTAGACTTGCTGAGCATACACTCTCCACATAGCATGTCAAAATGAGAAGAACAAAGAATTCATTCATTTTCATTAAAAAAAAATCCAAAAACTTTAAAGACCCAGCCTTACCTCTTGATACTGCAACAGCAAACGCAAAAGTCATCAGTACATAAGCTATCAAGAGTATGAAGAAAACAAAACAATTATGTATGGAATTTCCTTTCTCTAATTCAGAGAAATGTAAGTGGAAGATTTGGTTTTCCTTCCGAATTGAGGTAAAAAAAAAGAACTTTAAGTGTATTAATTTATCAAAAAGAAATTCCCCTTTTCAGGCAATTCAAATTTTAGCCAGTTTCAGTGGCTTTATAAAGGGTTTTTTCTTCTTCCTAGTCATATCTCTGTAGGGAAGGAAAATATGCCCAACATGGAAGGGTCAGTCCTATGCTTATCAGCTTGTGATTTGAGTTCACCATATGCTGACCAGGTTCAGTTATATCATAATGGTTTTAAGAACACAGTAACACCTTTGGTACTGCCAAGGGGATCTTTCAGGAAGAGAAAGTGATGGGTGAAGGTGACAGTGTTTGTTCAGGACTGCAAAATTCTGCCTGTATTTCCTTCTGCTTTCCCAAGCCAGGCACTCTGGCCCTTGTCACAAGAAAATGACAATCTCATGGATTTAAATGAGCATCTTGCTTTACTGTATGGGCATCATGAAATTTGTAAAGTTCCCACTTCTCCCCAGCTTAGTCCTGGAGCAGCCAGTGTGACTCTGGAGCCTGCATGAGTGAGGGTGGCTTTAATGCACTGTTTCTTCCCAGCTGAGACCATCATCTCTTGCCTCAAGGGTTTCCACAAAGGTCTGACAGCTGGGCATCAGCTGGGATGACCTGGATCATAGATGTGTCTCTTGTGCTAGTGGCTGCCAGGAGGATGGCAAAGAGACATGCCAAGGGCTGCCCTGGGCTCTTGGCTCCCTCATCCTAGGGGATGTTTTGCCTCCCAAGCCTGGGAAGTGTCATCAGTGTTGAGATCATTTCACTGTTACCTTTATAAATCTGCCACTATAACACACAACAGAGAAGTCCTTTAAAAATGGTGAGAGACCCTGCAGCAGTCACTTGATTTCTAGTTGTAGATATGCACAGAGGCACACACACACCCACTCACAACCCTGCTATATCGTTGGTATCATTGGGCAGGCAGTGCAGGACTACTTTTTCATTACTATCTCTGCCCCCAGCCCCAACCCTGTGTTTGATGCCCTGAGAAAGGCAATTGCCCAGTTCACTTTCCTCAAAGAATACCTAGAGGCTCAGGAAACACTTCACCAAATGGGCAGTGTCTAATGTCTAATAACATCCTCAGTCTTGCTTTATAGATGTAGCTGAAAATTAAACATTTTTTTAATGAAAAAAAATCCCTGTCTTCTTTGAATTTCAGGTGTCGCTTCTATATTTATTTGGTCACCCTGTGTGTTGTGATGCATTTTTTGTGGTTAAAAAATAAAACAAGAAGCAGGGTGACGGCTGACATTTCTTATACCAATGAGCATTGCTGCTTGCTTCAGCTGACACTTATCCCTGGTCTCTCCTTCTTGCCTTTGCAATTGAGGAAATCCAATCTGCTGCCGTGTCATTGTTACAATAATCTCCAGCTCCTGGACACCAGTCTGAGTATGACAGTCTCACAAAACCCATGTCACACTCATCTCGGGCAGGCTGTGTTCTGCTGGTACATCTTCATTCCCCCCAGCTGTCGCGCTGACTTCCAGTCACTGTTCCCTCCGCGGCAGCTCAGGGCCAGGCAGCACAAGGGAGAGGAGCTGGATGTGGCACTCCTTCCAGCTTTGGTTTTGGTTTTTTGAGAGCTTTCTGGTCTCAGTTTCAGGTTCTTCACAGTTTTGCATCTTTCTATTTATTGATTTTGATTCTTCCAAGCAAGCCAGCATTCCACAGTCCATTTTTGTTAACAAAATTGTTCTCATGCATTTTTCAGTACCATTTCACATGCACAGCTGAATTCTTGAATTATCCACAAGGCCTTGGTTTATTCTCATCCTTCCTCAGCTTTTATCATGAAAGTTTGCTCTATTAGTGGTTCAGAAAAGGGTCAATTGGGATAAATGAAATTTATTTTAAAATATAGGTTCATGCAGCGATTTTTTTTCTCTGTCTTTTATATGCTGGATGCATTGTTGGTTTATGAACCTTTCTAAATAGCAGAAAGGCAAAGAATAATTCAGGGTAATTTAGCCTAGCACTGTTACTCTCTCTCCCATCTGAGGGCTCATTCAGCAAGTGCTGCTCAGGAGGAGAGATGCTCATTAAAAGCCCCTCGACCGTCAGTCAGCCAGCCAGAGGCAGCCTGCTCCACTTTACATTGGAAAGAAATGGCTCACAGAGGATTCTTCTGGCTGAGGCCTTGGGGATCACAACTGGGACCCCATGGCCTTCTGGTGCATGGGCAGGTGGATATTTAATCTCCTTGTCCTTGGTGCAATGCAGTTGAGGCTGTGCTGCCCCAGAGGATGGCAGGGATGAGGTGGGATGCTGAGGGGGGATGCTCCTCAGGGATGCCATTGCACTGGGCAAGCTTGAGGTGCTGCAAAAAGGTGCGTCTGCTGAGGTTCTGCTCCGCCCTGCAGAAGTGGGATCCTTTTGCATTGATTTGGTGCTTTCCTCTCCCCTAGCATCAGTGCTGAGAAACACAAAGGCCTGTGAAAATAAGGAGGAAAAGACGAGAAAATTATACCCATGGATTTCAGAGGCAACTGCATTGGAGTGGTGAGCACTGTCAGCCTAACAGTGTCAGCATTTCATTTGAGATTTTAGACAAAACTGGAGCAGATTCTTTCACCACATTAAGCCTTCATTTCTGCCTACCCACACTTGGATGTGTTTGACCCTCCAGAAGTTTATTTGTCAACCCATGGCCAGAACCCTCAGGCAAGGGAAAATGGCTATGGACCACTAGGATTTTAAAAACAAACCCAAACCACATACATACACATCATCCCTCATACATCCATACTAGCAAACAATAACCAAACTTTCCAAATTCTGACTAATTTTTATTGGATTTTGCACTAAAATAATTATAGAAATTAAATTTAAAATTACAGAAATTCTGTCTGAGGTGGTAATTTTTTAAAAAAGGATTATGCATCTTTCTAGTTCAAGCCCACTCTAACTGAGAAGTCCTGGTCTACAAATCCATCCTCTGCTCAAATTTGCATGAGCATGTTCAGTGATTATATCTGATTATATAAGTTGAGGAAAACAGTGGTGGTAGTCTCTCATTAATATCTGGCTGGATTATGCCAGGTTGTTTATGGCTTCGGTCTGTTGTTCTTATTCAACTTTCACATCCAGGGGCCAAGACATAGATTGCATTAGGTGGACCAGTGCTGCTGGTGGCTTGGAAATGGCTTCCCTTTCCCCAGGCTTTCCAGCTCTTCTCTGTTTGCTCTCTGCAGATGTTAGAGCGGTGGAGCCCAGTTTGCATGAACGCCCATGAAAAGTCCATTTGAAGTTTGCATGCTCGAATACTGCCATATAGCAAAAGTGCTGGGCTGAGATGGCAAAGCTCTCCCAGAGCCTCAAGCTTAAACCTAATGAGGGACAAAGAATCTTCATCCACTATTGCTGTGACCATTTCTCTTCAGTCTGTGTTCTGCAATTACTACATTTAAGAGGGACACTGCTTAACACAGTGAGGGTTCAAGTTCATTGGGAAATTTTTCTAGAGCCCAGGCACACAGGCAAGTGAATGAGGTTTTGACTGTGCCTGAAGTAGCAGGTGCCATTATTTCAAGTGAATGTAATAAAAATATTTCATTTCAGCTCTGCACAGAGACAACAGAGACTGCAGCACCACCATTTTTCTAAGGCTGAAGCTTTGAGAAAAAACCCTCAGGTTTTATTCAGCAGAATAAAAGTTTTATTATCAACCCAAAGCTCTTCCCCTGATTACAAAATTAGCATTCCTGTGGATAGAGAGAAAAAAACATGAAGCTGTCTGATACTATCCATGATGAACTCAGCTCTCTTTTGAACAGGCAGGTTGAAATACTTGTAGCAGACCCTTCACAGTCTATCTGACCTGTTAGGAAAGAAGAAAGATAACAAATTGGACAAGTAAATTTGAATTACAAATAAATTAGAGGAAGCCACAATCAAGCTACTGACATTCACTAAGTGAAAAAAAGAATGCTTTTGTGCAGGTAAATTATCTACTGCGAATTATTTACTCAGCTCTGCTGTGAAGAGCTCTCAAGATGGGGCAGACAGAAGCAGATACTTTGTTTGCTGGTTCAGGCTTCTGGTCCTGAGAATCAATCTTTGACCATTAAAGAAACACTGCTGCCTCTTCAAGTGTAATTTATTCAATAAGATGCTTTACTTTCTCTTTTTTTTTTTTTTTTTCAGGATGGATGCTACAGATATTCTTGATTTTCATTTGCCTTTGCCTGGAGATATGAAGTAAGTTTGCCATATTGACCATTTAATGCAAATTTCTCAATATATTAATGTATTTTTTGGATATGGATTTGTGAAGGACTCTGCTCACCTTGAGACTGCAGTTAAAAATGTAGATAAACCTGCTGACACTAATTTAACTCTATCTCTGTACAGCAGGTGGTATTAAAACTAATGGTATATGAGAGGAGCTGTTTTGTTGTTTTTTTTTTTACTTTGAGTGCTTTATAACATTTGTGAAGAGCAGTGGTCCTTTTTTCCCACAATAACTTGTATCTCATGAGGGTCTCATTTCCTATGCACAAGTAAAATGTCCTGCCAAGGCATGGGTGACTCCCAGTCAGCCAAGGCAGCATCAGTCCTTCTCCAGCTTTCATGCCAAGTCCTTCAAACCAGGAGCAGAGCTGTGGTGTGGAGGGGTGAGGCACAATATGGGCTGGAATAACACTACCATGAAGGTGCTCCCTGGGACTCAGACACAGGGACAGTATGTTTTATACCTTCTGCATCTTTATCTTCTAACTTTATATACACTTCAGGTTGCCACTAGGCTATTTTTAGGTCATTTCAGGGATATATATTTCTGCAGCAGCTATTTCTGGGAGCTCTGCCAAACTGGAAACTATAGTAACCTGTACCTCCCCCACAAAAATGTTTACCCAGCAGCCTCAGCCATTCTTTCTTGCTACTCCTTGCAGCCCCCAAGGAGCAGGCACATCACTCTGTAGGAAAAAAGAATGCCAAATAAACGTCCCCACAAGGCTGGGGAATAGCCAGACACCCAGCAGAACTGCAGGCACACTTCTGTGCCTGGAGCAGCAGGCATGCAGCCATCACCCAGGCAGGTTCCCCCCATGCAGACACTGATGGGAGGCAGTGCTGGGGTGTGGCCCTTGCTGCCCCGCAGGCTGCTCTGCTCTGTGTTCTGATGTGATGGACAAAGTGCTTGGGAGTTTTTCACCAGGTTGTGAGAGGCTCTTTGTCTGATAAGCAGGCCCTGCAACAACTGCTGTAGCTCCAGATGTTGGGGCTTACAGGGTTTGAGCATTCCTTGTGTTAAAAATGTTGGCCTGGGTTTGGAGTTATGGAATTTAATCTGGGAGAATCCTTCCAGTCATCAAAAATGCGCCATGACCTGACCAGCACATCTGAGTCTCTCTGGTTTGAATGTACTCACAAGGGTTTGATGTGTATGGAAAACACAACGTGCCAGAGGATCTCGGGCCCTGCCAGGGCAGGGCAGAAGCATGGCCCAAAGCACAGAAGTGAATTGAGCCTCTTCAAGTTCATCCAAAGGTTTTCAGGGCTTGAACTGTTCTGTACTTGGTGCAGTAGTGCACGGTGCTTTAAAATGTGGTCAAACTTAAAAAGCACAATTGCTTGTCTCTCATAATCACTGGCAATGCTCTAGAACTAACAAAAAGTAACTAAATCCCTTTTCATGTTGCCATCTTTTCCCAGTTTGGGTGTCAGGATTTTGCTGTATGCATCTTTATCTTGTATACAAGACACATTGCTGTCAGCATCATGGGGAGAATTTTTTCACTGTAACACGGAATTTTTTTAATCACAGGAGTATGGATCAGTTAAATTCTGCTGTACATAGTGGACCAATTTTCCAAAAAAATGTCAGTAGAGAAAAAGAATTTAAATGCTAAATTAACCTACCAACAAAAGTAATGTTTTAGCCCGGTGCTTTCTTGATGTCCAGAACAGATTTTGCTAAGAGTAAGCTTTATAAGGAATCTGTGTCAAAGTAGATCTATTATCTGATAGATAAGTAATGGGCTTCATCAGTCATTTTTATCCATGGGAAGAGGGCAAAGGATGGAAAAGGAAAGTGAGTCTGTTGGAAGGCTGTCCATTGGAAGCATTACCCAGACAGTGAGATTGCATGTCTGTATGCAGACTTGAAAAGACACAGATCATCAGATACCAGTGCATGCCTTTGAAAATGGGTCATAAACATTAGAGGAAAGGATGCAAGGACAAAGCGAGTACTACAGCATTACACTACAGAGGTTATGTAAGTGTATTCTCTGTGTCCGTGTGTCCGTGTGTCTGTGTGTATGTGTGATAAACAAGCAGAATAAACAACGCAAATCTGTCAAACAATAATATTGAGTTAAAGGATTGTTTATAGCAATATTGCTTGACACTTTTTCAACCCTCTGCTTGAAACACTGCTATGAACTATATTAAAATACACACTACTACAGTAGTGTAAAGCACATGGGGAAGCTGAAGAGGCATGCAGCAATTGGGCTGTACCAGTACTGTCTCTCTAAAGCAGTAGCTTCAACCCATTTCCAAGTACTGGAATTCAGCTGTCTGCTCCACCAGGCTGACAGAACTCACCTGGGATTGTCCATCAGTCAGCCCCATGGTATGGTCTGGAAACTAGCATGAGTATGGGACTACAGGCAGTTTACACACCATCACACTTTTCTTAGAAGGTGAGCTTGCTTAGAATACAATGCATTTCAGCACATGTGCATCATATGTATTAAGTGATGCCTTCCAAATGAAATGGTAGTATTTGCACCCTGCCTGTCAGCATTGGGTGTCACACCACCACCAACTTCAAGGTGAAAAATGGTCTATAAAGGCAGCATGCCACAGTTTTTGGCTGATGCTCCCTCCTTTGTTAATCTCACACTCACTTGAAAAGGAGTTCAAATCAGTAGTCAGCTTCAATAATACTTCTTGGGGGGAGGGGGGTGGGGAAGTGAAGTAACAGGAATTTAAGGAGCTGGTGAATTGTGGCAGCAGAGGGCTTCTAGAAGCTCTTTGTTTCTTACTATCCATAAGAGGGTTTTATTCCTTCTATGACTCGGGGGCATGAAATGTGAATCTGATAAGAAAAAAAGTGTTTGCTCATTCTGCAGGAAGCTTGAAACTGAGATGGGCAAATAGCATGTGCAAAGTCCTAATGCAATGTGACATATCAGAACAGCATCACACTCCAAACACAGCAGAAATTAAGCTGTTGGACAGTTTGAATTAACTGAAAATAGGGAGCATTTCTGAGCCATTTCCTTAGTGCTGTCTGTATTAGAAATGTTGCTGTTCCCCTCCAAAATATGTAAGCAGAAAGCTGGAAAGTCTGGCTGGAAAGTAAATAGTGTGCACTCAGTGCTCATCCTCCCCACTGAGGTAAAAAAGAACCCCTGTGAAAGACCTCCCACATGCTCTGGGAATGCAGCCTCAAGCACCTGGGGTCTCAATGGCTAAAATATTTTACATATTAGAGAGTGAATGGAGCCCACCAAACACATGTACACACATATTCCAAAATCCTCTATGTACTTGCCTCTGAACAGACATCTGCCAAAACCAGTGTACACTTTAGGTTGGAAGATGAACTTTAATATACTTTGACAAAGTCTGCCATTGTACCAAACTGAGTGGTGTGGTGGGGTGTGGACACTTCAGAAGGGAGAGCTCCCCTGAAGGAAGACCTGAATAAGGTGGGAGACTGGTATAACTGGAAAATGAAGTTCAACAAAGACAAGTGTAAGGTCTTACACCTAGGAAAACATAATGCAGGACAGCAGCACAGACTGGGATCTACCCAGCAGGGAACCAGCTCTGTGGAAAAGGGACCTGGGGGTCCCTGGTGGACAACAAGCTCAGTATGAGTGAACTGTGTATTTCTGCAGCAAAGAAAACCAACAGGATGCAGGGTTATATCAACAAGGACATCACCAGCTGAGGTAAAAAAAGTCATTATCCCACTGTACTCAGACATTATCTTATGGATTAACACCAGACAGAGCCAAGGTCCATGCAGTTGCTTGGTCACTCCCCCACCAGTAGGACCAGGGAGAATATAGTTAGCATAAAAGCTAGAAAGCTCATGGATTGAGATAAAAACAGTTTAATAAAAAAAGTAAAGGCCATGCATGTAAACAAAGTAAAACAAGGAACTAATTCACAGGTAGGTTTTCAGCTATTCCAGGAGATCAGGGCCCCATCACATGTAACAGTTACTTGAGAAGACAAATGCCAGCATTCCAAATACCCTTCCCTTCCTCCTTCTTCCCCCGACTTTACATATTGAGCATGATGTCACATGGCCTGGAATATCCCTCTGGCCAGCTGGCCTCATTTGTTCCAGCTGTTTTTCCTCCCAGTTTCCCATTCACCCCAGCCCCTCACCAGCATGGCAGTATGAAAAGCAGAAAGGGCCTTGGCTCTGTTCAAGCCTTGCTCAACAATAACAAAAATATCTCTGTATTATCAACTGTGTTTTCATTACAAATCCAAAACACAGCCCCATAGTAGCCACTGTGAAGAAAAAACTAGCACAGGAAAAACTAGCACAGCTTGCCAGGACACACCTGGATTACTCAGTTCAATTTTAGTCCCTGCTATGCAAAGATGTGGACAGACTGGAGAGGGTCCAGAGAAGCTGCCTCACATGTGATCCTGGATTAATGCACACTTGAGGCATTGTAAGTGATATTTTTCTATCAGGTCAGATTAAGCACCACATTTAAAGCTACTGTGAGTGTCATCGAGAGGTTACAGAGATTACAGAAGAGTTTCAGACTATTATTATTATTTTTATTGCTTGGTGCAGTTGTCCAAGTTTCAAGAGGAAAGGCTAATGAAATTTATAGCTATATTAATAATCTTCATCATATCCTCTTTTGCAGATCCCTCTTGCATGTTCCCTTAAAGCCCATGAGATCATCTGCTGCCTGTTAATGGAAAGCAGTTTATTTTGAAGGAGGAAGAACTGACAGATTTTTGTTGCCATGAACTGTATAAGAAATCTAACAAGCCAAATGCAGATGGATCAATACAGGCTGTTGCTTATTTATCACCCTCTGTCTTCCTCACTTTATTTTTATGGCTATTAAAGATGCTATCATTGATAGACCATTTCTGACTGTCTCTATATAATGTACACACTGGACAATGCTGCCATTGATATTTGTGTAAAATGCTGGGGCATGGAATGGCTAAGGAAAGTGGTGTAGTCTGTCTTTCATTTCTGCTGCATGAGATTTAGCCAGGGCTGGATCTCCACTGAGTAACATTTCTGTTATGCTTCAGGAGGTGCAAGGGAAGTTTGATCTTTGCTCTGAGTATTTCTGCACTTTCAAGTGTGCTAGAGTTTTCTTTTAGGTAGGACTTCAGCAGGGGAGTTCTTGGGCTCTCTGCTTCATTAAAGTCATTCCCTTTAGACTTCTGATCACCAAGAAACACACCAGTGCTTTAGTACAGCCCTTTGATTATGTTTTTTCAACTAAAATTCACTACTCACTCCAGATGAAGAGGAGTCATTCTCCAAACTGTTACATTTTGTCATGAATAAACAACTGATTGGAGCTGAGTGAGTCTGAACCTGGATGTGGCTTATCCTTGCCTGCACTGACTGACAGCATTGTGTCAGCTAATTTGACAGTCAGCAAGAGAATTAAACCTGCTTATGGAAGCATGGGTATCAGAGATTAAAGCATCTACACTGCAGTTGTGGTTGCAATTCTGGGCAACAAAGTCACCCACAAGCAAATTTTAAGTGAGTCACCCTAACACTGGTAGCAGTCTGGAAGTGGGAAACCAAACTCAGCAACTACTTTGTCATCCCACTACTTTGGGAGATTTACAGCTTGCCATGCACTTTCAGTTTAGGATCTGAAATTAGACTGAAACTGGACATGTGGAAAGCTTGACTTTCCAGGAAAATCAGCTCAACTCTTCTTAAAAGCAAAGTAATGAACAGTACCCTTGCATTCATCAAAAGCAGCTTTAACTGTGCTTCTGCAGCAAGATTCACCTCAGATGTCAGCATAAGAATGTAATGCAGGTCTGGTGCTGGGTAACTAGTGCTGTGTAGTTGGGAGATCTGGTCTATTTAGGCAGCCTGTATTGATTGCAGCAATCTTTTCAATTCTTAGTAAGAAGAAAATGTATCCCTTTTCCCAGCTAAATCTGGAGTAAGCAGGTAGAAATCCAGTGCTAAAACCTTACAATAGAAGGAAACATTATTCTAGTGTCTCAATTTGCTAGAAACAAATGCTGTGGCATTTAAATTGGAGCATCTATCTCTAGCAACCCAGCACCTCTAATCGGTTTCTCACCTCTACATTCGAATGCAGTGAAGGCAGAGGTACTGCATTTACAATTATAGCAGATGACTATATCCCTCTGAAATGACTTTAAAAGATTAGAACATATAGATTATTTATTAACTCTTAGTGAATGTATTTCACGAATGGGAACAACATATTGCATCAATGTCTAGTTCCACAGTTTAACTATTTTAATTAAGAGGGAAATGTATATTGCTGTAAGGAATTCAACCCACATACCACTGTGTAAGGCTTCTTCCTGACTGTTTCCTTTTTAGTACAAAGCTTCTGATCCTTTAAACTCATGTTAACAACAGTGATCTTAACAGTGGAATCTTCTGTGATAACTCATAAATAACAGTTCTGGCTGAAACAAGGATGTTCAGCCAAGCTATCCAAAACTGGCTACCCAACAGTTTACTTGACCCATTTTGATCATGAGTATCTGATTCACAGGTTGGCAGAGAGATTTATGATGGAGTTGCCCTGCCAGCTTAACCCAACGACTCCTGCTGCCTAGATAACAAAAAAAAAAATCTTGTCTAAGTTCATGACAGCAACTGCAGTATATCCAGAATTGTTTTCCTTCCTTCTTGGATTTTGTAGCAAGTCTCTCCCCTATTAAAGCCTTCAGTTGGTTCCTGGATTGTAAACCAGCATGCCTTAGAAGTGGTAAAAAACAGATGAGACAAGCATAAACATGGTGTTCCAGACCTCCAAACCAGGTGCCAGTCCAGATGAAATATAAAGTTGTCCACAGCTAAGCAGAGTTTTCCAAGGAAGGCTGAGACAGATCAAGACCTATCTGCTGCGAGTGGAATGCTGGCTCCTTCCAGCAAAGCAGGAGAACAAGAAAGAGGTAAACACAGCCCTGGATGCCTGCAGTAGCTGATCAGCACTGGCACACTGCCGAGCCACAGCCTGGACTCTTCTATGGGAAAAAGCAGGGATCAAAGTCAGGAGACAGAGAGAATTCACTATGATTCACTTTGACAACGTGTTGCCCCAACAGAAAAAGAAACAACATAATTTAGATGCTGTCAGGACAAAATGTCACCTTTAAAGAAATGGAGATCTAATTATCAAGGTATCATTTGGTATGGAACAATTCACAGACATAGTGAGGAATTAAACCCTTTCAAAGCCATGCAAATGTATTTTTCCTTTATCTCTAGTACTCACAATTTTCACCTGGGCTAAATGCATCAAGCCTAATGATTGAACATTTAAAAACACTATATAATGCTTTTAGGCTCAGTGTAAAGTGTTATTACATGCTAAGATGCTAAGGACTAGTTTCACCTCAATGTTCTGATTCATTAAACAACTGCACTTTTATGGTGCCATCCTTGAATGATAAGGTATATCTGCAAAATGCAGCAAGAATTTGCAGGATTACACATATATGACTGGCATAATTTGAAAGGCACAAGAACTAAGAACCAGAAAGAAGGACCATCAAGTTCATATCAGTCTATTACAACAGGACTTGTTCTGTTAAATAACTGAGTTGCTTTTTTAAGTTCTTCCACTTTGCTTCTATAGTGGTGAACTCAAGAGCAAAGTAGTTACCAGGAATCACCAAGGTTGTCTGAATCTGAATTGTCTGAAAGCCTCTTCAAATGGAGCATGACACTTAGGTTCCAAAAATACATTCTTTGTTTTGTATTAAGAGGAAAGTACCATTTGGATATGTGCTTTCACAGTTCACTGAAATATTGTAAATGGAAGACCTCATTCCAAAAATTTTCACCACCCTAAATGTTTTCCTTTTTTCTGCACAAATATACTTTGCATATTTGGACAAGGGTTTGGACAGGCTAACAAACTTGTGTATACTTATTAAACCAAGTGCTAAACAATTCTATGGCCAATCTATTGCTGGTTGCTACAAATAAAGGTAATTGTAAACTGAAAAATTACCGTTAATTACAGTTAAGAAAGGCAACTGTGGAACCTGGTTCTGCTTAGTTTAAATCCTCATTTTTCCTCTGGGCCAAATCCCAATATCCTTTTATGCAGTCTTTTGTTTCCTCAGACTTCTTTTATCTTTTAGCTTAAATTCAGAGCATACACTATAACAGCTGCTGAGGTGTAGTTATGGGACATACTGGGAAAGGAACTCTGAGCTAGCAGTAATTTGCATGTTTCATTAACTAGATAATCAGGACACTTGGGCAAGTTATTTTTTTCCCCCAAGGAAGCATTCTTCACCTGGATATGTGCCATCTCTAAACCCAGAAACTTCTGGTGGAAATGTATGTCCCTCCTGAGTCCAGAATGAAAACTTCTGCCTGAAAGCAGACAGCAAGGCACGTTCTCCTCCCACCAGGACTATGGGCTGAGCAGGCTTTTGCAGCTGTATCTTATGTCTTCAAATGGAGGCTCTTGCCACCAGCTTCTTCCAAGGTGGAGTTGTGTCTACTTCTCCTGCCCCTGTACACATGGAAGTGGTTCATTTACTGGGGGAGCTGCTCTGGCACAGTGACCATGACACAGGCCTACAAATACAATCAGTGCTTGGCAAGTGGGTTCCAGTCTGAATTGGGTGCTTCAGGGATGTGAACACAAATCTCTCACGGTCCAGATGTCAGTGCTGGACATGTGGCTACTGGGGCAAGCCCTGTTTTGGGATACCATACCAACACCCTCTCCTTTCTAGCAACCAGGAGAGGGTCAGGCTCTCCTTCACAGCCAGCTCCACATGCAAAATTTTCCCCTCCCAAATTCAGAGCTAAAGCCCAGGCTAAAGCATCCTTATTCCTGATAAAACAACAGCAGATTAAATAGGATGAACTGATCGGCTGTACTTCTTGTAAAGTTATCCCCAGAGATAAATGCACAATGTTGTTATGGAGGCTGTGGTGGTGTCTGCAGCGTAACTAAGGCTGACAGACTGCTTGCATGTGGGTGGCTGTCTTCTTTCCAGCTGTGACCAGCTGAATTATATCACCTGTCCCACTTGATATATTAGGATATGCTCAAACTCAAGATGCATGTTGCTGCAATAGGGAAATTAATGTCCACCACTGGAGGCAATTAATAATGATTAGGAGCAAACCAGCAGGGTTAAATCTGTGCATTTAACAAAGTGTTCATACAGCTTTTTATACTATTCTTCAACCACCCAGTTCTCTCAGATTTCTGCTTCTCTTTGAGGGGGGCTAGGACAACCTTATCTTAACTAATGTTCAAACTTAGTTGAAATGCCAAAGTTGTTTCAATAAGACATGTTTATTCATTATTCAATCCCAGCTTCAGACCCAGTAGAAGAAAGCATCAAACACACCCATGTGAAAGAATCTGCAGAAAAAATGCAAACATTCATCTCTATGTCCATTTTCATTCAGAGCAGAACAGCTCTAGGTATTCATGTTTGAAGTCACTGCATCTCTTTGATTTCTGGACTCCTTAGCTAGTGCACTAAAACATGGCAGCAAATTGACACGTGGAAAATTTGCAATGCTCAGTTTAGAGCAACTCCTTAATTACTATAGAAAATGGTGAGTGATCGGTTAATAATTTCCCTTTTGTGCCCAAAATCTGATTTCTGATATGAATATTGGGCATCTAATAGGAACACGTTGCTCTTGCAGATTTCACAGCTCTGGATACAGGAAGCCTTGTGGTGTTCAGCACTTTGTGGACCTCTGTAAGAAGCCACTCAGTATTGCCAACTCCAAGTACTCCAAAACTCTTGTCATTTCTTAACACGTAAAATTTCTTCTTAATTCTTAAAGTTTTAATAATAGTTAGATTCCTTAATATTCCTGAAATTTAGAGCATACACATAGTGTCACAA